GTGATTATTGCAGCTGATTTATATTATTCACTCCCTGACCCTGACATTACGACCTCTGAACATAAAGGCGTAGCGTGTCAAGAAAACACATTCTTTACCATCCTGTCAAAGGTAGTGATGTTTGCGTCTGATAGGTAAGGGGGGAAATGTACATATAATCGATAAATAGGCGTGGTGCCTGATTATGAGTCCGACAATTAACCTTCTTCTTACCCAGCTTTGATTAAGATTGTCTTCTTTAAACACTGACATTATTTTCATCAGCTAAAGTATAGACTATCTTGAACAATATTTAGGAATTAATGTAAGGGATGTATTCATGGCTTGCATTTGATGTATTACATGTTTTATAATGTGTTAGCGCACGGTCACATATCCAAGCCGGGGCCCGGCCGGGTTGTTTGCATGAACGAAAAATTTGAATTAAGGGTATACACAAATAGTGTTCATGGTTAATTTTCTAAAACTTTTTTTTTGTTTGGCTGTCTTATATCATAATTTCAGTTCCAAACGACTGCCCAGGTTGCCTTAAAGGCACAAAATAAGCTAGATCTGCTGTCTCGTTCTCAACATTGTATCGCGGTTACAATTTAAAGGAAGTAAAAAAAAATAGATATTAAGAGATTAAAGTAGATGGTGTAATGAAACATATCAATAGTAACTAATATATATTCCTCAACACAGACGACTTCTCAATCCTGAGAAATGTGTATAATTCATAGCAGTTGTATAATGGCATGAGTTGAATTAATCGTTTGTATGTTTACAGTTAAAGAAACTTTGCAAGAGAGCCGTGGTAAACTTTCATCATTAAGCTTTCAAGGAAGTTGGCACAGCGAAGAGCGCATTGTTGGCCCAGTAATAAAAAGCACAGCCCTCGTCCATATTGATGATTTCAAAGACACATCTTCGGGCCATCTTCACGCCGTAGCGCCGTTGAGGTAACGACACTTTGGGGTCATATATATGAGCCTTATCTGCCAGGCTATTGTGAGTGCAGTTGGTTGGCAGATTGCTTTGAACCGTCATTTGTTGTGAGAATAATGACGCCTCACCCCATCAGGGGTAATTTGTAGCGGAGTTACAACCCTTTGACGCTGGTACTTGGTAAGGTTGATGAACGACGTGTCACACTATCTATATGACTTCAGCAACATACAGAAGTAGCGTGCGTAGTCCAGCGGTTAGCGCCCCTGCTTCTGGACCATGAGGGACTTAACAATAAGCATACCTTAAAGCATCTGTAGAGTTTTCGTTATTATATTCCAGTTGGCGGAAAGTTAGGAACCGTTATGAGATTTAAAGTATGATTAAACAATAGATTTCATGCAGTGCTTGGGATGGGGTGCTACAAACGCCGTGGCCCAATGCTCATTGTGCTTGTCGAAAAAGAGCTAGAAGAATTTCTCCGGTACGGAATTATTGTATATATTGTACATAGACCTGCCTTCTCTGCCATGGCCGTTGAAGTGATATCTATTCAGTGAGGTAAAAATTTGAGCGAGATCACTTTCCTATCGTAACTTCTTCCAATAGAAACGGCGAATAAGCATGCAACTGGACGGAGTCGTCTTCCATGCAGCTTGTCCTCTCGTCACCCATGATTTGATCTATTGAAATTGTAGCAATACAATACACGTGAGACTAAGGCAGCTGTTGCTGGTGTTGTGTCTCACACATAAAAAAAACAAATACAGGACGACAGGACATTTTCACTTGAGTTAAGCATGGAAAGTCCTGAATAGTGCCTTGCCCATGTGCACAAGATCGGTGGCATGTCAGGGCTCGAACCCAGGACCTCTTGATTCCGAGTCGAGCACTCTGCCGTTACGCCACACGACCCGTAGTAGTAGACAAGAAGAGACCCAGGCGACAAGCAGAAATCTTCCTCACTTTGCAGCAATTATTTTTGCCCGAAATTAACGGGAATCTAGTGCTTAACTGGTTCGTTGTAACCCTGCAACTAAGTGATAAGTACGTTACCATTGGGGTGATCGATGGGCTACTGCTTTCAAGCTGATGACTGACTAGTGTTATTTGTCATAAGTCACGTCTCCATGACTGTACAATTAGAGCAATCTAAACACTGTTTCATCAAAATCAATGTCAGAAGAACGATTACATCGTACCCGATGCACACTTTGCTTTGAAGTCAAGCCGGAAAATATGATAGTAATTTCTTATCACTTAAACACTTTCGCTCATATGGAAAATTGGATGTAAGTGAAGCAACCATTTCAAAGTATGTATGAGGAAAATTACTTTCAAAGTATTCTAATGGAAACCATTTTGTGGATTAAAATAAACTTATACCATATTCTGAATCCCTCGTATGGGACTTTTCAAGTGTTGATACATGTAAAATCCAAAAGTACATCGTTTTATTGGGAAAACTAACTGAGCAAGTCACACTGGCCTCTGCATCTCAGTTGCCATTCTTCTTATCTAAGCGTAAAGTGACCAGAACTGGTTGATATTCCACTATTGCTTTCAGACGAGCTGTGCTTTAACACAAATGCAGACAGAAAGCGAACACAATCAAACAGAAATACGCTAGAATGATGACTGATGACATAATATCCCGCTGTACTGGCGTGAAGCACATTTGCAGCGGGACACTCCATCTAAAGGTACACATGCTATTCATCTTACTGTGGGATGTTGGCATATTGAATCGCCAGGTTGCGATCCGGCTTAAGTAATTACTTGCTTTCTAGGGCGAAGCGGTCCAGCAGATTTAGCCAGGCTTACACGGCCAGACCCCAAAACAATAACAACGTTAAGCTGGTAAGAGGATTTCGCCGCTTCACGCAAAGCCACACTTTATACCGCAAAACAATCCAGTAGCATGTCATGAATGTCAACCTGTGGCTACATGAGGCTTCTGCCGGCAACCGGACATTGATTAATGTCTGTACGTATCTTATAGGTAGTTCACCAATGTAAATAGTCAATACATAAATGTAAACATGAATGTGATTATGTAAATACTGTCAAATGAATGGAGTGAAAATTGTGAAACTCATTTTATTAGGCAGTGCCCTCACTAAGAGAATGATGGAAGCAGATTATTTCAAACAGTCGCCACAATTTCCCCATTATTCTACCATTTAGAAGTTCACCAAAAGACTACGTTTTTACTAAAATCACAAAACCCACTCATTATGAAGAGAGTGGGGCTATTTCTTAGTCACTGCTTTTCGAAGAAGAAGTCAAACTACACAATAGCAAATAGTAGTAGCATAAGTTGTGCATTCTGTGTTATTGCTTTGACACTGCTCAAACAATTAGCCTTTGGCATGATTTTGCAAATAAATTGTATAGTAGAATGAATTGAGAAGGTAAGATTTTGTTTTGCTGTGACCTGGACTACGTAGACTATCGTGTGATTCTAAGGCCTTATAGTTGTGCAGAATAAATTTTATTTAATTCCTATTTTTTATTTTACCAGGAAGTGTTTATATCTAGCAGGCACTTGGGGAGGACATCAACAAAATAAAACATCATATGGTCACAATGAAAAAGAAACCTACTGAAATAAATACAGTCATAAATAAATAAGCAGAAATTCTACAAAGTAACCAACTCTACAACTAAATCAACATAAGTTAGGGTAGCCAAAACGTGATATGTGTACTGTCATAGTAATAATTAATATGAATTTTTGTCATAGAAAACTTTTTTATACCCCCCTCTACGCCCGTTTGGTGTAACACCCATTTACTAGGTTAAGATAGTCGGCAGTGATTTGGTATCGGGTAGGGAATCCGGCTTACAGCTAATGCCTCTGGGGTATTGTACCTTATAAGAAAAGCCGAGACCCCAAGTCCCAGCCCATGCATTTCTCCCTCTAATCCTGGGCAATTAATTTCAGGACACTGGCTTATTTTGTGAGTATCCGGTTGATACGAGGAATCCATTATAAAACTATTACCATCACAAATCTACTGATCACCACTACGGACTGCATCTGTAGCATGAATGATGCAAAAAAAGCAACATCTCATAAAATATGAATATGCAATTGCAGACAGAACTGTTTTCCATTTACTTCATTATTCTCGAATCAGCTGCTGCCAAATCATTTATGTAACGAATGTGCTAAGCGGTAAGAACAATGCATTTAATGTACACCTTTCTTAAATGTCCCATCGTACATAAAATGGAATTAAACAGTATACACTTGTTGCCGCACAAAGGTTTCACGTAGCCTCTGTAGCAGGCTTATAGAACTGGGGGTTTGGTGGTCTTCTGCTGTTTTCTGATTAGCCCAGTTCTAAAAACGGGGATAATTCAATCACGCCGGCTATGCTGTCTATATGCAACCAGAAAATAGCACATAAAAGCTCCCAAAGACCACGAAGATCCCCAAACACCCCAGTTCTGGGCATGCTATGGAGACTAGGTTTCACGTGAGGAGGGTGGGTGATAGTAAACTACTCTGCCAGCTTTTGCTAATAACTATACTCTGAAGGTGATGGAGATCCTGAGTTGACTGGTGTCGCAGTTGTCACGATAACAGCTTATTAAACCGTTTCATGTGCGGAACAAGACAAACGACGCCCTACGGCCACCGCTGACACATTTCCCGCAAACAAAGGCCATTTATACACCACTGGATTATGCCCTACATAAATAGGGTCCTGGGCATCTGTCAACTTGAAAGTTCTTCTTTCCTTTAAGATGCTACGTTTTACTTTACATACACCATTGCATCCCCGGGGACCAGCAAAGGCGCATTTATATAATATATCTAAAGTATACACTGGTAAAACCATGTATACAAAGTCGTCAAAGTGTTGTTTTTATTCCGTTGCGTACTTTGCTTGGCCATCTCCCTTGTAAACGTACCTCAAACAAGGTCTTGAAAACGTGTGGCACATCGAATTTGGGTTCTTTAAGCGCGATTAAAACTGAATAGGGTAAGTTGTCAGCTACAGTAGCTGAGACCAATCAGATTGCGCTAATTCTATATCACCTGGCGTTCTTTACCGTTTCAGACGTGCACACGTACGGAGAGCACGCCGCTGATGTTGCCATGTCTGACTGACGACGACCTGCTATGTAGCGAACAATGACCAAGAGCGTCCTTAGGCTATCACTGGGGGTGGTGTTGGCCTTGACACTATGTCCCCATCCCTCAGTCAACAAACTCACAGGATGCGAGTACCCCAATGTGACCACGGGGATGCTGGAGTACAGGCCGTGCGAACCGATGGTCATGGACCTGGCTAAACTGGCCGACCCTGTGGTGGAACCGGCCAACATGACCTGTGGCAACACGGGATCGGAATTTTGTACTATGGTAAGTGCAAGATATATTCAGCTATTGTCACTGGTTTATATCACACCTAACACTTATATGATTTGTAATCTCTGTATGTAAGATGATCAATACTTCCCGAGGTTGCATCATTTCATGTCCTCGTTCAAGGTTTGGGGTAACCTGCGTGTACATAATTATATGATTGATGTTCTCGTGCAAGGTTCAGCATAATCTGTGTGTCAGTCACTGTGTATATGCGAATTTCACTTCCAATGCAACCCGAGGTATTGTATGTCCAACTGGATTCAAATGTTAGATTACAGCTAACACGCCATCATCAAGAAAAAATGTTTGCCTTAGATAAACATCTTTTCTGGCAGATAAACAACATTTTCGTAAATGGCAATGTATACACGAGTTATACGTCTAAGTAGCTCGCTTAGTAGGCTTATACGTTTTGTGTGCAGACCTCAAGTGCCTAATACTCCTAAACGGTTGTGGCAGTGAGTGACACATATTTGTGTATTAGCAAGACGAGGCTTAACATTCTGAAAGGTTGAGATAATGCAGATGTAGACAGTGAGACCCTCCAGATATTTCTTGACGTTTTGGTAATGTAGAGTAATGGACTGAATCAATAGCAGGTTGAGGATACTTGGATCATAGGAAAATGATATCTTTATATTATAACATCACTGTAGCATTCAAGATGAATTATACCACAAAATGAACTGTAATATTTAATTCCTTTTGAAATAGTCTCTGTAGCAGTAGAGTCTATGTTTTGATGGATGAAAATCTGCTTGCTCGTAATGCTGTCGGCAAAACTGTTGCTTAAAATCAACGATGCGAGACTATCATGTTTACAACTGATTCTGTACAGATTTTATAACCTTTCTCTGTACAGATGTTTATACCCTTCATCTTAGCGACATTTATTTTACAGAAGACTAACCTTGACTCAAATTTCTTTTGACACATGTGCAATCAACCAGACTAGATGGGAGAATAATACATTCCTTATTGATCTAAAGATTATCCGATAGATTTTAATCAGTAATACAGGGCGTTTCGTGCGAGGATGAAGTCCCAAGGCGACCAGGGTTATTATAATCCAGCCGTAACGTTTTGATGGGCGCTGAAATGATAGCGTTGAGATTACTGTCATCACCTTTTCAAAAGCTTTCGAGAGCTGGCAACTGGATATTGAGAGAGATTTATTTTCATGGACGTCTGATTAAGAACGCGCATGCAACACTGAAAAATTATGTATCTCTTCTGAGTGAATGCGAAAGCGAGGACTTTATAGTTGTTTCAAGTGTCGGGAGTTTGATTCGCTGTGAAACAGGTAAGGTCTTTATACCGAAAACTGCAATAATAGGGAAATTATTAGCTGTAGCTAATAGTATGCAACCGCGAACATTGTTTATATCATATATATTTTACATCTACACATTGAAGCCATGAGCCTCACGTACTGAAACATTTTTGCTATTATCATGACTTTTTAACCGGGTCAAAAATGTACTTATATTCTCATCAGTCCACACACCTTTACAAGATACGTTAAATTGTTTTGCCCCTTGCAAATCCGACCCAACTCTTCCGGGGTTTCGTAATGGCACTCCCTGGTAGAAAGATAGTGCCATCAAGTTTTCAGACCTAAAACAATATCAAACTCGCCTCTAAGCCAGATAAGAACATAATGAAGCCCGGGGATTGCCCATGATTCATGTTATCTTCCCCTTATTCCGACAGAGTAGGGTATGAATCATGCATGGGGCGATCGTCGTAATAACTGACCTACTGGCCCGCTTTTGGTGACTATGGCTGGGATCACAGGGAAGGTATCTTAACTGGTATTGGCATATAGGGAAGCATTTCTGTGTTAGAAACAGACTTTATCTTTGTTGGTTTCATGTAAAGACTGTGTTGGTGTTTCCAATATATAAACCGCTGCAACCACATGGAGTTACCAAGTCTGCGGATTGAATTCTTTAAGCGGCATCCCACCGCCAATCAAATTGAGATAAACTATAACTCATTACACCGCAAAGTATATTACGGATTATTAGATTTTGATCGAGTTTTGTATTTTTGATATAAATCAAGAATTATTCATAAAGGATAAAGAAGATATTACCTCCAAAGTTTCATTTTGTTTGGACAAAATACATATTATTAATTAATCTGCGCAGCCCGTTGCAGTTGAATGCATCGCAGTGTGAAACGCCAACTGTCTGTCTTGGGCATGCCAATACAATTACAAATGTAATGAAAGAAGCGCTAAGTTCATCATTATCATGATAAATTGCAACGCGAACTTTTTCCTGCAATACCTGCTTTCTCGATGACGTTAGTTTGCTTTACAAATTCCAACGAAAACCAAGATCACTAGAGATCAATAATAAACAAGACAATAGGTAAAATGGCCGTAAATACAATGAAAATGTAGTTATATTTATGTGAATGTATTTGCTACAAGAGGTAAGGTTTATTTGAGACAACTGTACAACCCACTAAGGACAGTGCGCTAAAGTAAACCTGCTAGCGCGCGATCGTCAATTCACCACTTAATTGGCATATCGGGGCTCGGGGGGCTTGGCTCCACCCAAATTATCCGCACGACAGCCTTAATTCAATTCAACTCTTTGCTGCTTCGTCGCTTTTTAGTTCAGGATTTTTTTCATATAGCAAGTGTATCTTACTTAACTTAAGTCTGAACTATTAGGAGTGAAATGTGCTAGTGCATTATGTCAGCACTAGGGATATAATTTTTTGTTTGTTTAAAGAAATTATTGTGGCAGATCACTCGTACGTGTGGCTGGAATCAATTTTCAAAATTTTCGATATGATTTTTTTTACTAGTGAAAATATAGTGGTCATACAATACACCGTTCGCGAGTTCTAAGGGTAAGGGCGAATGAGACCCCCCCCCGTCCCACGAAGCCCAAAAAAAGCCCGGTCTTGATAGGGTTAAAAAGGATGATGATAATGGGTTTTGATTAGGTTAAATTTTGTAGTTGTCCTCTGTATCTAGCATCCCTAATTAAACGACGTAAGTGTAGGTACACATATTTGAAACTATGATATTTTCACGCCAGACATCTCTGGGTGCCACGCGGCACGGCAAGTCGCCAGAGGTGATGATATCGTCTTCCAGACCCAAACTAAAATGTTAGTGTTAACCGCTTCAACGGCAAAAACTTTCCGTGACGTTCCCGGAAGATTTATGCACGGTTTCGCTGACGGAGCTGGCACTTCGCGTGCGGCAGCCTGTCAGTTCGTACATTATCAACGCTTGGATCGATTTCTCTCTACACCACTGGTCCCTGCATCATTGTAAATAACACCCAGATGACTAGTGATGAATTCAACCCTGTCTGTTATCCGTTATCCACTGGGTAAACATAGATATACGGGCATTTGTAATTAGTAACAGGTACTCCATGGTTTCTATTAATTCAGCTCCTAATTGGCTTACAAAATGTTGCAAAGGGCCATTTTTGTGTGGACTAAAATACCGCATTCTTCGAAAATGGGAAAGCTTTATTGTTCTCTTGTAAGGGAAAGGTTGACTATAGCCATAGTAAGGGTAAAGGTAACCCCGCATATGTAGCCACGTAGGGACAGTGGGTTGTTAGTCCACTGTGTCTAAGGTGCCGTATTGAAAGGCGCAGCCCATCCCTCTCCTTCAACCACCTTTTACAGCCCAAATCAAAGTCAGGTACCCATGTTACACCTTGGTGGAGTGAGGAAAGTTGTGCAAACTGTCTGCCCAACGGACAGAAAGTCCAGCCAGGGATCGAACCCTTTTCCGCATTTTAGGTGTACCGGTTTTCTTATCTATTGTACGCTTTAGCTTTAAACATAACACAGTATTAGTCTCTCTTGGACTTTTCAATTTTGTATGACTGGGTAACGGAAACTGGAACCGAAACCTAACAGGATGCAATATTTAAATCTTATGTTTTTCACTTCGTGTTGTAGCTCCCATGAAACTGCACGTGCTTTGTTCTTTTCAACTTTTAATCCATCTTCGTCTTTCTCTAAGGGCTTCATCTGCCTTTACATCCCATGGACCTTATTGCTGACAATAATAGGATCTTGCCATGGAACTTATTAGGGAACGAGATAGAACACAGTCCGGCATTGGAAGTTTAATCATCTGGGTTTATCCGACGTCCAGTCAGATGTCCCAATGGATATCTTCCACTCTGCTGCAGCCTAAAGCAATCAGAGTCTTTGATTCCACCCAAATTGGCTGAAAGCACTTTAAGAGAACTTCAATGATTATAGGTCAATACCTTAAAACGTATCTTTCTTTTTAGCTTTCATAGAAGGGGTGGGGTTAGAAAATTGCCATAGGCCAACTGTGTTGAGAAACATTCAAGAAGGTTTCTAGGGAATATGGTCTCTAAACTCTAGGGCCAATTTTTATTCATCTGGACGTCTGCTAATGTTTGCAAATCATGAAATTAGCATACATATTCTTGGCACTTTGTAGCGGATATTTGAATATTGACTAGATTGCAGGCAATGTCAGTCAAGTATGAATGCTACCGTTGTTACATTCACGTGTACTGTGTAGTGTCTCTCGACAGGTAACAATATGTATCCCAAAACATACCCATCTTTGATAAATATATGACTGGGGACAGTCTAGACTGACATTGGTCGACATGTAGCACAATTAGCCTTACTCGTATCAATATTTAATGGCGATATTCCCTTCAAGCAGTGTCCTTTTCATAATTTTCCAAACCCAACATCGCACTGCAACGCCGCTGTACATATAAACACAATGACGAAGACCAGTCAGATGCCATCCAACATTTGGTTTTGTCATGTATCAATTATTGTACACCAATGTTAATTTGAGACACCTGTTGCTCGGATGCAGATTTAGGTTGATTATTGACAATGGGCAAACTGTGTGTAAGTATATTTAAATTATTCTTAGAAATTGTTGTTACTGAAGAACTAAGGTATTCTCATTAGTATTTCTATTTTATCAGTTCAGAAACGCCACAGCTACTCAACGAGACAGTCAACGTGCAACTTTTCACTACCAAAACCCAGAAGTAACAGTGGGAAAAGAAAACTGAGTCAAAGTCGTGGTAACTCTACCGCCCAACTTGACTGCACAGCGCCGTTAGTCACCTTGAGGCGCCGTGCCAATCCTTCAGCAGAACACAGTGTTGTCGTTGTCAATGCGTATTTACCTGGCGGCATCTCCTTCGCGATCGATGCCAAGATGTCTTCCCGCCGTCTTGCGCGTGTAATGGAAGTGTGATAATGTGAGACCCATGACTGGAAGAACACCTAACAGCAGGAAATGTCAACCTGATTACAAGATAACATCGCAATATGACAGCTAGTAAACATATAATCTTACGATTTGCCATGCTTTATCAAATTCAGATCTTTATTTATTCATTGATGGTTTTGAAATCTATATTTTTATAATCATTACTCTAAGCAATAGTTTAAAAAACAGTGGCAACGTTTTGTTAACCACACTAACATAATACTGGAGTAAAACTTCAGTTCAATTCATAAGCACAATTGTTATTTCTGCATTGCACCTTTCATACGGTGATCTGCAATGTATGCTAATCTATGCTAATTAGAATAGCTGAACAGAAGTGATGTTAACGTATACATCTGAGGTATAAGGCAAATAGCGTTCATCATATGGTAAATTTTTGCATGCTAAGAGACGAACAGCATATTATATTTTATAACAAAATCACAATTCTAGTCCCGGGGCTACAATGCCACAAACGTTGTTAACATGTCATCGCTTACACGCGTCTTTGAAGTGGAACAACCGTGTCAGTTGAAATAGAGGAAGGCATTAAATTCGACATATGAAAGCGACCTGCGGCAAGTTTTACTGAAACGTTGCATTATGAGCAACGACAATATTGGGAAATGCCATGAGATTCATATCAAAATATGCCTCCCAATATCATTCACGCTCACTTAGTGAGCGACGGAAAATTGCACTCCCATTACTCTGCAGCAAGCGCTATCTTCCTGGAAATAGCTCACATAAAACCAGTTGTGGCATAGACTGTAATTGGAGTATTAAAATCCGTATCATGAGCTTCTTTGACGTTACGATAGCTTAATGTGATATATTTTAAATGAGTTATGATGATACATAGTATATTACATATTTGGAAAGCGCTTATATAAAAGCAAGCTCTATTAGGACTTAACCTGCCTTTATAATCAGTATACGTCTCACACTTCACACGCACAAGCAGTACTTAAGCGTCCTCTTTGAAGTGTCTGCATAAAAGATGTTCGCAAAATTTGCACGAGTTCATGATATTTGTTCTGACATCGCCTCCGGCGTTCTTCCATGTTTTTCATAGTGACAAGCTGGCATAAATCATGTCAACGTGTTTGTCGTGTGCAAGCACAGATAAGACCGAGAGACATTTGTCATGTTTGAGTTATTCTTTATTGCTTGTGTCTTAATATACTGAGAGTAATGTTGTATGAACAGGCACGGATGTATAGAGATGTCGAACCGGAGCGTGGATAATGTTCCATCACACTGTCGGAATTCCGGAAGTGTTCATCTTGGGGGAATGACTGTCTGATGTTACGAATTCTCCTGTGTCCTTCGCCCTTGTCCTACAGTCTAATAAAAAGCAAGACAAGGCCATTTATCAACATGAACATTTTATTTTAGTTATATGTAAACCTCGAACTTACAGCCATGCGTATCAAGAAAATATTACTGTTAGCAAGTTATAACCTTTGAATTGCATGCACCGTATTTTGTTTCACTTCTGGTAGCATTGTATGCACAGTGTCTTCTTAGAATTTTAGCAGTGAAATGAAAAGTATGCCAATGTATGCTCGACCTGATGGAATGTGTGCATTACCAGGCCCTACCCGGTTAAAGAACCATAGGAGAGCTTCCCTCTATCCCAGGGCACTATTACAGTGACTCATACGCTGCAGAGGTCTTGCATACCCGTTAGCTATGTGACCAAGGCATTCGACTGGTCTCAGCGTCACGATGAACAATACCCCCGTGGCGTGCTCGCTTTTTTCCCCAGCAAAATGTAATAGGGCTGGCGCAGCACGTTTGTTATCTTTTCTGATGAGGACGAACGTTGCCGTAAGCCCATGTTAGCCTAGGGAAATCCGCCCTCGTAATTAATAGACCGTATGGTTAAGCCCGATGCAGATAACGCAGCTAACAACGCCCTAAGGCCACATGAATCAATCCCGGAGATAACCTCCCAAACACTCCATGGCACACCGTATTTTGCTCACAGCGAACCCAGCCGTGGTGGGACTTCGAAAGCTGTTTCAAAAACTGGTACAAAGATAAAGTCTGCCATGCTGTCTACTTCCCGTACATTTGCAAGTACATGCATATCATTGCTGAAAAAAAAAACTCCTTTTAAGCAAGTGCAAAGGTCTAGGTAAAGGACGAAATGGAACGTTTACGCATTGTTTAAGGTGTGCGTCAAGAATGGATTCTGTGTAGTGACAGGTTGTTTTGAAATTCTGATAAAAAGCAGTTACAAACAGGAACTATATAGAACCGAAAGAAGAACCGATTGATAAGATCTGGTAAAAAAAATGTCATCTACCGAAACGGAAGGTGTGGTGATTGATTATGTCCGTGGCAATGAAACAAAGGGTGTTTTTTAAAAGTGGTCAAAGTATTGGTCGTGACGTTGATGGATCAATCAATTAATGGAAGGAAAAAACCCAACACGCCTGCTAATTGGCAGCAAGGATTTATCGGGATGTCATGCGCCTGTGGGTTGATGAAGTGGTCCTTTTCAAGAGTTGCCTCTCCTTGTGGAAGAGGCGTGGCTCTTAATTATGTCTGTCTTCCGAGAAACCTAACTAACATAATGTTTAATGATGTAGCCATTGTTGGAAAAGGTTTCTTTAGCACACACCCAGTATAAGTAAGCGTCAAATATTAAGTTAAATGACAATTGTTAGAAGAATTTCATTTATAATAACTAACTTGAACAGTTAGTCAAGCATGCCTAAGCGTGATGTTTTTTACTTAGAGAGAAGAGATGCTGCTATAGTGAGCGTTAGTGCAGTGCCTAGAATGGCCCATGTGACTTTGCACTGAGCAAACTCGTAGAACAGTTACCAAAATACGACTTCACACTGCACTGCTACTCTCAAAAGTAGTAGCTAGCTGTTCCTCGTAAGATGTGCTACGAGGCAGTGCACGCGTAATGATAGGGTCATTCCAGCAATCATTCTGCAATTGTGCACTCGTCACGTATATAGATCCCAAACTGCCGCACGCAACCAAGCTGCTACTGATACGGGGCGCCATTATTCCACCAGCTAACCCTCTCTCCTTTGAAATCGCGCAACAAAGAAGAAACTAGACGGACAAATCGATGTCCTCGCGTCTGATAGGCAACAACAATCCAGTCTAATGAGCTTGATGTATTTGTTACTAGCCCATAAACTAATCCGATAAAATCGTACAACCCTTTGTGGCAGTGATATTGCGGCTTCGCACGCCATGCCAGGATTGATACATTAGTCTATTAACGAGTTGCGCTACACCTGATAGTCGGGAGGTGGACACCGATCGATGTTAATCTATCTAGATCTCTGGTATGGACGAATCTATTGCAGTGGGTTACCATGGCAACTAGTCTTATCAACGTGCAAGGGTACATTTGAGATCAATAAAGATATCTAAAATAAATGTTACTGTAACAGTAGTTTCTGTTTATATTCCGTAATGCATAAAAAGTATGACGAAAAATATTTCCCCAGCAAACACCGCGCTAGGCTAAACGATTAAACTCTCCGTGCGACAGCCATTCCAATATATCAGTTTGAATGTCCAAAATCATCAGCTTATGATATAACCATGGAAAACCACACCATATATGATAATAACGCATTGTGAAAGTGATCACTACAAAGTCATTTAGGTTTTATTATCTATATCATAAGAACACGTAACCCAAAGTGCAATGATTTTAATGAGGCTTAACAGATGCACCTAGAGAACACAATGTTTACAATGAGTGTTACAAGAAATATAAACTTTGTGTTCATAAAAAAAGTGTATTTGTGTCCATAAAAAAGTGTATTTCCTTGACGACAGATGTCACCAGGGGTGACAGGATTTCATTGTCAAGGAGTGACACTGTATTTTAATGTCAAAGGAGTGACATTGTATTCCATGGTCAAGGTGTGCCATAATAGTCGTTCTTCCTAAGTCTAACTTTCTATTCATTATACCTTTACAGGATGCTCCATCTACGTGCGAAGTGTGTGATGCTCGTATCTCGGGGCTCGCCCACCCACCAAAGTTCATGACTGATGGAGAAAAAGGACCACAACCTCTAACGTGGTGGCAGTCTGTGTCCTGGCTGAACTACCCCTCCCCACTGCAAGTCAACATCACATTCTCGTGGCAAAAAACCTTCGAAATCACCGAAAATATCAGAATAGTTTTCCAGTCCCCACGCCCGTACCAGATGATTATCGAGAAGTCGCTAGATTACGGTGCAACATGGCAGCCGTGGCAGTACTATGCACGGAGCTGTCGAGATGCGTTCGGCATGCTGCCAGCCAGAGCCAGCACCATCTCGCGGAGGGATATCACCAACGTCATCTGCACCCAGCTTTACAGTAATACCCTTCCGCGAAAGAATGGCCAGGTGCTTCTGGAGGTGGAGGATAGGTTCAGGTTATATCTGAACGGTAGGAAGAGCGGCAAGGACATCGACGTTGAACTGCACCAGCACAAGGGCTTGGAAAAATTCGTGTCCCTCACCGACATGAGAATACGGCTGCTGCAGCCAGCCACTAACGGCGTCTATAGCAGGACTTCTGCAACTTCCAACGAACTCATGAGATATTACTACGCAATTTCTGATATCCAGATCAGGGGCAGGTTAGTATGAAAGGCACCGATAAACATAGAAAACTTTTTTAAAATTTCATCTTAATGTATGAGGTCATCCAGAATGTGCCTACTGTTGTTAGTCTCCAAAGCTTCACTTAGCTCTTGCTATACATAATATTCAACTTTTCTACGAGTACCGCTGCAGTGCCTGTTTTACTCGCATGTATTTATTGTTATGCAGTTTCGGATAAGATTATTTGTTCTAAAGATCCGATATACCCTCTAAAACTGTTCAGTCAGAACAACATAAACAGTAGTCATGATATAAAAATGGTAATTACAAGTTCGCTCCTTGAATTTAATGCCAAAAAGCTTCTTGTTGTCACACTAAACATGACATGGGGTATGTTTTTAAGAAACTGGGGAAACTGTTGTAACGTTTGTTGTTGTGTGTAGTAAACGTAAAAAAAATTACAGGAAATATTATTTACATCCTCTACTTTAGTCTTCAACTGACTACAATGAAATGTTATACCATGTATATGAGTGCACATGCTTTTCAAGTGACACTATTTATTATCTATGTCTATATCTATATTATCTACGACTAGGTGTAAATGCAACCTCCATGCCAGCTACTGTCTTAGGGATACGAAGACCAAGAAGTTTTATTGCGATTGTAAACATAACACAGAAGGGGCCGACTGCAACAAGTGAGTAGTAATCGTGACATTGACTTATATTTAAGAAATGGTGTCCTTGACAATAAGTTCATTTTTTGTCTTCTTAACATCCATTTGTCATGGAATCTAGACAGAACCTATACAGAATCAACATTATTTTGAATTAAACCCATATGACACCAATGACACTAATATATTCGTTGGTATTGTCCGATGTACAGGGTGACTTGCAAGGTTCCATGTTCCCTGATACCAGAAAAGTGTATTTTTCATTAATGCATCCTTCCTCCTGGAATAACACATATCATACATACGTTTGACTATTTTCATGATTAGTGTTGTATTTTAGTGTTATTGGTATCATATGGTCTCTGAGCACTTTCGTTTGTATGCCTCGGATGAAGGCATACAAAGCTAACTGTCTTCATTCACTGTTGCTTTCATCAGAGCAATTGTATTAAATTGTTGATAAAATTGCAATATATAGAGCTAACATGAAGAAACATTGACCTTAACTTTACTGATTTATCAGAAGAATGTGTACATATCTGTCATAATATGATCATACAAGCAGAAGACTAAGAAAACTCTATGTCTTGCCCTGTTCATTCAGGTGTAAGAAGAACTTCGTCGCCAGACAGTGGGCGGCCGGCAGCTACTATCCGCTCGGCACCGGCTCGGCGAATGAGTGTCGAAGTAAGACGTAATTTTGTCATCATCACTTTTGTCATACTTCAATTGATTTAAGCATCTGTTTTCATAAAACACTAACTATAATAACCTTTCTATTCCAATTTTACTCTTTATTCTAGTTATTACAAAGGATATAGTGCCAGTATATCATTTAAAAGTCGTAATAATCTGGAGATTATGAGTATAATACCGCACCCTGGTTTGTAAATGAAGTATGTTTCCATAACTAGTTACCATGTTGGTAAGAAACTTGTATATGTAAAATAAAACAATTTTATATCTACGCTCCTGTGCATGCATGTAAGAAAGAAGAAAGCAGCGTCAAGGGGTTCACTTAGATTTTTAAGAGTTAGTATAATATTAAGATCCTCAGACTACTATATTACAATGTTGTTTGTATGGAAAAGTGGATCTATGTCATTTACTGTCGGAAAAAACGTCAATGGTAGCTAAAGATAGACGTAGAAGCAGCGCCGTCTTGCGAGGTACAACCCAAGTTCATATTGCGAGAAAACTAATTAGAACACTGTCTGGAATATTGAGAGTTCCATGCGGCAACTCAACAGTGAACACGCGCAAGCATCTGTGCATCCACAATGTAGAAAGTAACCTAGCATTATAAAAACAAAATACATTACATTATATATATTTTAAAGTAGATTCTTCACAACTCAATTTTTAGGAGTCATCTACTGATAACATCTGTATCTACATACATGATATGTTTTTACTATGAAGGTATTCGGGCTGGTTTCCATTCTGTTTTCAAATAGATCCTGCAACGCTCTAGCTTGGTAGAAAGAAGTATATACTTACTATACGTATATATGACTCATTACATGTATGTACCTTTTGTTGCTTTCTATGATGTTACTGTTTATTCTTTTTATGGCATCGATCTGCTACCGTCACTATCTTTAATTCAAATTGTTCCACGGTTGCCGTGTTGACAAATGCCTTTTCAACTTTAGCGATAAATTTTGCTGGTTCAGTATATTATTAAGTCTGTGAAGACCATTCATCTAGATATTCTGATGTTGCATTTTTCTGCACAACTTTTTTCCACAGATATGGAGACTAGCTATTGCTGTATTATGCGATTCTGTTGAACCTTCACCACTTTCGTAGCTGTAAATAAGAGCATATATACATGGTATTCCGTAAACATCTAACTTCACTCGCTTTTGGATAAATCACATGGTTTTCAAGTCTTCCCTATCTTGAATGGCTTCCTTTCCTATTTTATAGATTACCCCCAAAGGTAAAATAAAATAAGCATAAGTCATTGAAAACATTTTTCCATTTTTCACCTTTCGGCTGACACAGCCGAACAGTAGACGATCTAGCCGAACCCTGAACAGCAGATCTTCTTAACCATGTTTGGGGGGAGTTCTTGCTGTGTTCGGAAGACCATATAACATTTAAAAAAATAGAACATTGAAGAACACGCAATATTCCCATGGCTCCATATCGGACGGAGCCTTTGTCGGATGACATTTTCTGTCTACGCCAGGAATATTTGTTATAGTTATTGCAGACGTAATGGTACCTCAGGGGAGGGGAATATTGTAGCGATGTGCAAAATGGGATTTACTCCACTAAAGCTATTAGTCTCTTGTCTGCGGAAGAGATATACGGAGGTTGCATACCGTGACGAAAAATAGCCAGTCCTAGCTGCGAAATAACAAAAGTGCACTTTTATCAAGTTGTTGACTCCCACAGATTCCCAAGCAGATCCCCAAACAATAATAAAAACTATTAATAATAGTAAAACGAATGAATTATTTTAGACTGATATATACGACTCAAGGTTGCAAGCGCAGAAGCTTTCAGATGTATTACATTATCACATTCATAGAATATGCTGGGAAGAAATTTCTAGAAGTATTCATTATTGCGTTCTTTCTATAAGCTTTTTTAATTACATAATATTTCTTCTATTCTGTAAGATATGCCACATACATAATCAAGATTGCAAAAATGCTGACGAAAAATTCGGGGCATTTGTCAATAGATTAAGTACTGTCCCCTGAGATTACGAAACTTATTTTATTGGTGCTAAATACGTCAGAACTTTCCAAGATAGCCTATATGTTAAGGGATCACTTACAGTATGATGATTGATACTTTCTTGGATCACCGTAAATTTAAGCCGGGCTCTTCAGCCCTTCGGTAGTTCTCGACCCTTGGCTGAGGTTAGGCCCTAAATCTGGTTTGGCATGTTACGTTTCGTACCGTATAGCCGTTATGTACCATCAAGGGAAAGCCAACAAAGCCGGGGAAGTGCCCTATTCGTCACCCCGTGAACGGTTCTTTTGGTGGATAAAGCTAAATGAATGCATCGAGTCTGAAAAAATCGTTTCCTGGGGCTATGGTTAATCTGAAGATCTTTCTTCTTGACGTTTGGTCTCAGCCCCGAAATCTCAAGTGATCTATTCTTAAACTTTTTTTTCAGTTTCGGTGTGCATTAGAATTAATGTTGACCAACGGACTGCTGTGCGCAGAGGGTCATGTTTTGTTTACAAGAAAGACTGTCAGTCTCGAAATACATGTTGCAATTTTCAGTGTCCAAAGCCTTTGTCAAGTCTTTGGCAAACTTAGCACTGATACATGTGGCTGATATATACACTGGAAAATATCAAGTATAAAAGTTTTTCTCTTGTACTCTTTTGATGACACGTTCACCGTGGAAACCTTGTGTATTCTACATATTCTTATGATATTTTTCAGCATGTGAATGTAACACCCATTCTGACCGGTGCCGGTTTATCCAAGTCTTGGGGTACGTGGTTTGTATCGGGTGTTATCACAACACCATGGGCAGGAACTGTGCGGAGTGCCGCCCCGGATACTACCGAGATATCACCAAGGACATCACGGCCCACGATGTCTGTAAAGGTACTTAGAGCTATTTTTACCTCCATTTACGTATATCTCCGTGAGAAATGGAAGTTGTGTTTTTCATCCGTCTTTGTGTGTGTTTACTTTAGCAAAATTATGCTGATTACAGCCCAATTTTATAATCAATGAAACAGATCGTAATGTGAAACGTTTACAACTGATTGGACAACCAATATCAATAAAATAAAATACAAAATGTTTATTATGAAGGACTGTTATAGGTATATATAAATAAGACTGAAATTTTGAAAATTTTGGTAGAAACTGTTTGGTGTTTAAAATCTTCATCATATTTGACACGGCGATTCGGAAAGTAATTGTTTTAAGTCTCTGTTTGTAGTCAAAATCATCGTCGACATTAACCGTGAAAGAAGATGGTGGCTGATATAAGTAAATTTCACAATGTGCTCCACGACCGAACGCAGTAGAACAATGGCAGTTCATGGCTTCTACCGCCTACTGTAAGGAGTGTTGGACCTGGTGGAAGTTCATAGCTAATAGTAAACGATGTTTGCATTTTTTATTATTATGACTAGCCTGCGACTGTGACCCGATGGGTGCGAGACATGACAAATGCAACGCCACGACTGGCAAGTGTCAGTGCAAGGACGGTGCCGACGGCATGCGCTGTGACATGTGTGTGGGCGCGTACTACTGGACCCCAGACAAAGGATGTCAAAGTACGTGTTTTTTCTTCTGAAAATTAACCGAAATTCAAGAAAGATAGAAACCAACAAACCGAAGAAGAAACTGTATAATCCAGACTTCAAAGCGTCTTGTGAATATGTTGGAACTACATTGTATAATCATTGGGAATACCTGATTTAGATACTCATTGAATGCAATTGTATGACGTAACTTACTCATGTATAACACCACGGTATATTTTTTATACCATTATTACACAGTACGACCTCCCACCCAGGGTATACCGGATCATAACCCTGTCAACTAACCGAAACCCAATCTCCGCCCACTCACTTCCAATCATTGCTGCTAAGGACGAGACACATACAAACCAGCGCTTTTCAAAACAATACATGTACTTTCGTTCCATAGATAAACATTAGGCAAAGGAAAATGAATCTTTTTATCACTAACTACACGACTTCAACTGATCTGAAAACTTTGTTGTTCGGATTTCAGAGGCAGTCTGTACCTTCAGCGAGGAAAACAACTGTAAAAACGGCGGGACCTGCGACAACTATGAGAGATGCATCTGCCCAGACGGGTATACCGGCAGGCTTTGCGAGCGAGCTATCGGTATGACGTCACCCAGGAAAAATGGCGGAAGAAGTGCAGCCGCAAGAAGGATGCCGGGATATGCATGCTCCCTAACGGCTATCCTGTTTGTCATATTTATAAAGATGATATCCTGACATACGTAGAAACCAACACATTTGCGAACGAAAAGTTTAAATAGAAAACTGAAATTGATTAAACAACAGGAACTTTTCTCATGAATTGTAAAAACTACAAGTACAAAAAAACTATTGAATATTGAACGCGTAGGTTTATGAAATATATACTAGCAGCGTTTAACCCTCCTAACGAGTGACTAGGATCCATAATCCTGTCAAAATTGAGTAACGAGCAATCCATTCCGTAAATTGTCGTTACTGTCAAACATCTACCAGAAAAACAAAACTTTGCCCTTGCATGAATATTCGTAGCCATTTCAAAGTATGACGATTTCCTAAATACCTATAGATACAAAACTCCGACTGTAAGTGATCCAGGAGTGTAATGTTGAAGATGATGGGCATCAAATATAAGTAAATTTCTCAGATGATGTTTTTAACGTCGCAAATGTTGCTGGAACGTAACGTATCAATGTTGACTTTGAGCTCCAGCAATGCTTGTGTAAGCATTGTACCTGATATTTGTAAATAACCAAATGCTGAAGTAGTATGGTATTTGATACATCGCAAAATTTATAAGATGATAAGATGACAAACACAAAAGATGCTACTGCATATCACCACTTGTAAATTCTTTTGCACCGTGTGATGAAAAAGTAGTATGCCTCTGCAGCCATAAAGAATGCAAGAAAACGTTTACCATAAAGTCAGTGTGCTGAAAATTTTCTACCTTGATGTTTTTTACACTGTAGTTCATACTACTATAGATTTAGGCCGTATCCCTGGTTGATAAATGTGACAATGCCTGTCTAAAATGATGTTTCATTGCACAGTTCGTGTAGCATGTGCAGCAAAGATCGACTCGTTGCAGAAGAACATGAGTTCACATCAAGGACTCTGTAACAGAGTGGTTTTGACGGCTTGTTAGCTATTGTTGCACGAGAAGTAATACAAAAAGGAGACTTAACTCAAGGTACTGTACAATTTCACGCTTAGACGTAGCCATTTGGGTGACGTGAATGTTAAAAAGTAATCACCTGAGTTTGAAATAAAAAAAGAAACCCCGTAGCGCATAGAAACACTGAAAATCACTCTGTGCAATTGAAAAGAGTCCTAGAAAAGACTGAATGCATTTTGTGGAGTAGAAAACAAAGCAGAAAGCTGTACATAAAATTTAGTGAATTGTGGTATACGCTAAGGTAGCTGTAGTACTCTTTTGAATATGCATGCTTGTGTCAATTTATGGATAGAAATATGATGTGGTGTGAACGGTTTTGTACATTGGAAGCGTGAAAGTATAGTTTAGAATTGTGTTAAGGGATATCTATTCATTGACAATTGAAGGGTGACGGTAAAAGTACCATAAACGTAGCGTACACGCTCACACCAGTCTCCAGTTTTATCTTCGCACCAAATTGGCAATGTTTGTCAGCAAAGGAAAGCTTAGTAACAATTCATAAGTCATATTACCAAAATTTGTAAATTTCTATTCTTTGTAAATTGATGATTTGATTGAATAACCATCATATCAATCTCGACACTATATTGATATTGAAAAGTCCTGCGTTTTAGTGCATTCAAACACTTCGCACAGGAGTACCGTCATCCTTCCATCAAATATAAGATACCCTACGGCTAGCATGATACCCATAATGCCCTGCAGTCAATATACCTCAAGGGGTGAACGACCTTGAGTGAAACAAGGTCAGTTATCCCCTTCCACACTGTGTGAATAAAGGCTATTTTTGATAGGGTACACCATATCGACATTGGGTTGTGTTTTTTCTGCATACCAAGTGTAAATATTGTAACAAATCTAAAGAAATCATTCAAAATTTCTCGGTTTTTATCAGCTACCATAGTAAATGGATCAAGTGCTGTAGACACGTGTGATGTTGGCATTGGGTCAAAGTTCGTCTGAAGTCGGTATCGCCCACCTTGCCGGTTAAGAGAAGGTTGGTGTGGCCTGATGTAGATGGCCTCCAACACTTCTCTCACAAAATAATTGCATTCAGTGTCAGATAGCTTATAAGGACCGAAGGATTTGGTCAAATATATTGGTGGGTCATTTTCTTTTCGAGATTTTCCAGAGGTGAACAGTTTAATCTTCATTATATAAACCTATCGAAACTGTACATCTCTACGGACATATGGAAGCCTAGTACATAATATTTTACGTCCATTCTAAACTGGTACTTAAAGAAGGGGAGCTTTGCAGAGAGGACCGGATCTTCCACTGCACGAAAACTTACATTTACCAATGACAGTAAATAGCAGTAAAGTTGGGTAATGTTTACTTTTTTAAAATAAACACTACTGTAATTTACAGTGGCAGTACATAAAAGTCAAGTACGTTAATTCCGGACCTAACATGGGTTGTAGATAAAATTACCGGACTTGACTTTTATTTACTACCATTGTAGAGCCAGATGCTATATACACAGTAAACATTACATGAGTTTACTACCTTTGGTAAATTCAACTTTTCGTGCAGTGTTCGTCACATATAAAGCGATACGTAATGTGTCTACACTCTGTACCACATGTAATCCACCGGAGCTGATGCATATTGCATGAAGCACCTTCGAATCGATAAGTCCGGATCAAGGACATGGGATTTTTTCAATATCAGTTACGTAAGAAAACATGGCGACGCAGGAGGGCCCATTCACATAAAGTTACGGCTTGTTTTATATCCGTTTGCAACCTGGTAGCTGCCTAAACGATAAGTCACTTGTATAAAGAATAGATATACACCAATAAAGCGGGACGTGGATCGACCTTTATGGTGATCCATGCGAATGCCGGAAGTCGCGTTGCTGTAAAATTCAGTTATCATTGAAAGGTCAATCATACTTACAGTACTTAGTACGGTGCTTCGTATCTGATGAAACAAATATGGCGACAAATTGAAAAATTCTGAAACGTCAAAGGCAGCTGAACCTTCTTGCCTTCGTTCTTTTTATAATGGTTATTTGGCACACTTTCTCCTTATCGATTTTCAAGGTTATTGTTCTGGAAAGGACTGCCAAACTAAGACTAGTTTTTTGTTTCCTGCCTTTTGAAAGTCTAAGAGATCTAAGTCCAAAACAATCGACAAGTTAGACTGTAAGTTTGGTATACTTTAGTGTTAGACCAACACCATGCCTGGAAAAGGTTAGAGATAGCTGTTCAATCTCGTACTGTTGTTCCTTGAAAAATAAGTTCAAACTAAAATTCTAAAAAAATATGTTTCTAAAATTCTTATTGCTTTTCTTACATTACCATTTCAACGTTTGCCATGTAAGAACAGCCAATCATATGAAGACGTCACATTCACTTCTCAGTGGTGATGTAGGACATATAATTTTAAACCAAAAAATTAAAAAAAAATATATATATATGTATTTTAAAAATTCTTTGTGCTTTTCTTACATTACAACTTCTGCCATGTAATGACATGCATTCAATCATATAAAGACGTCACATACAATTCCATCTATTTGATAAATGTGTGCTAAATATGTCACCAGGGACGGTAATGTGACTGCAGCTTCGCCGACGTTTTATGTGTTTCTTGCGTTCGACTCTCCCATTCCACATTAAATGACAAAAGACACATAATCAGAGACATCACGGATGTATGGACCTGCGTCATTCTCATATACTGCATAATCTCTGTTACCATAGCAACGCGACAGTTATGAATGATTACCCGGCAATATAGGAGAGACGGAAATGACGGATTCATATATAATCACCGAATGTCATATCGTTGATTACCGATAGGAGTTCGTCATCCGTATCAGATTAGTGATTTTTCAAATAAATAATTGATTAAACGGGTATTAGCTGTGGGATAATTCTTTGGTTCCTGAGTCACAGCATATGACATCTTATTTGATTTTCCATCGTCTGAAATTCGGTGGGCGGGGACAATGTCCGGAGAAGGTATTGGATGTGTGGCTGGGGATTTAGGGTACCGATCATTATTTAGCCCCTAGCTACAACCCCTAATTTCCGTGAATAGTTTCATCAGGTTGGTAAGACACTGAGTGAAGAGACCCTTTTTACACAACTTTTATTCAGCCGACGTTTCGGTGACCGTCTGTCACCTTCCTCGGTGTAATTCTGACTGATTCACATTGCATTGCAGCACAGGTGTCGCTGCTAGAGATGCATTCTCAAATGTACAACCCCTACTGCTGGCTTACTCCCGAATGGGTTGACGTACAGTCGAACACCAACCAACCATGGCTGAACCTTCTGACCAACCCCCTAAATGTTTTTAACGTTTTTGAAACATTCGGCTAACACAGACGAATAGTAGCCGACCTCACCGAACACTAACCAACCCAATAGACTTTTCTCCGATCTACTACTCCTAGCCATGGTTGGGGGAGTTTGGCCAGTGTTCGGGAGACCAAATTCGTGAGTGTGTGACAGGAGATGACTTTGTCTCTGACCTACGGTATACCCTTGGGTGACATTTTACCCGGTTTCCGTGAGTAACGTCCCGTTTTGTTCACCGCATTTTGAGGACTGGAAGCTATTTTAGCACGTAATTATTGAATTCGGTAATATGATCTGGGCTATTTTGGGTATATTTGGGAAACAGATGAGACAGGTTAGGGTTATTTTCCTCACGTTTTGCACGACATCACCTAAAATTGTTACCACAAACATCACTACAGTTAAAATTGTCGATGACATCATAAACTGGGCAATCGCAGCTGGCGTAACGGTTGGCTGATTGGGTCCTGGGGTTCGAATCCACGAACAGGCCCCCGAAAGAAACGTTCATTCCTGTATAGTGCAATATTGCTGTGGAACGATCTACCATATGTAAGACTCTGAGTAAACTACTCAGGTTCGAAAAAGCTATCGCAAACAGTGTCACATGAGCCTCAACCTCTAGTTTTTAAATTGTTAATATCGATTTGTGTGCTCATTGTTGATCTTTTAATGTATTTATGTCTTTCTAAATGTATTCACTGTATTCTCCATGTATGTGATTATGTAATTTTAATGCTTAAGCCTTAGAAGATTAGGCAATCTATCATATTACCTAGATGCCTAACCTTCAACGACGAATCTTGGAAGATTAGCTCTGCAGGGCTAAAAGGCTTCGAAATAAATGAAATGAAAAACATCTGCGGTTCAAAGATGTCTGCTAGAGGGACGTGAAAGCTTTTGACATTGGCACAGAACACTTGGAGGACCTTGCCATTGACCGACCCAGCTGGAGGTTCACACTGTCCGGGAAGCTAAGATCAGGAGAAGCTAGACCGATGATCTTCGCAGAAGAACTTTGCAATAGACCCGGGCCAGCTGACTGATGTACCTTACGTGACAGAGACTGTCTATAGTATAGGACTGTTCAGCCATAGCCGCAGCTGTAGGGCTGATATCAATTTAGATTTTACTGTGGTTAATATTGACATACATCAATTCCTAGAGGAATATACCATTACATAAATGTTGGTAGTTCTCCGAAGAATAACCCTCAATATCACTATAGGTTCACTTCTTTGAAGAGGTCGTAAAATAATCTTTGGCTAAGTATGTATCATTAAGGCACAGCCAAAATTCTGTGGTAAGTAGCAACAATTACAAAACGTGAAATAACCGTGTATACTGGAGAAATATAAACAAAATAAAGGTATCAACATATTTCATATGAAATGGATGCATATTACACAGAATGTTGTCTATCTTTTCTACATCTTAGCAGCATTTCTCCGCAATGCAATAAAGAAAAGTTATTTCAACATCATTATGTTTGAGTTACATTTCATTTTCTCGCATTGACAGCTTCACCGAAGTTGCAGTGCTATAGGTGGTCGTTCCGCGGAAGAGTTATCCTCCTCTTGCCCTAGTTTTACGATGAGAAATTGAAACCTTGACGGCGGGGTCACCGGTACATTATATGGCAATCATCGATCAATAGTTCCCCAACAGATATTCGCTGGAACATCAAATAAACTCCGTGCGCATCCCTCATCCCCAATGCCTGACTTTTATTGGTGACAACTGTTGGTAGTGCATAACCACGGTTTACAGTTTATCAAAGCACGGCATCGTGTTTTATAATTATGGTGGGAAATATAACGTTGACGTGTTTCATGAACCAAAATGTGATTTGCGGCTGCCTTATCAGAGCAATGGGCCTATGAAATAGCTAGCTGAGGTAGATCTCTCCGTCATCATTAGTGGTACTTGATCCCCGCCAGATCTTCGTATGTTCCCACCTCGCTGTGAAGGCCACACGGCCCGAAAGGTGTATGGGGCCTGGTCTGGGATGTTTAGCAGGCAAAAAAAGTGACCTGATTGTGGTATCGACCTACAGAAGGCAACCGCAGGCTCCATATGTGCACACACGGAGTAGGTTGTTAACGAATAAGGTATGTAT